GAGAGATGTTTATTAATACCTGCCCTTTTGATGTATGTCTAATGCTTAATTTGGTCCTGTTTCTCATTTACTTATCTACTCTTTAAATGAGATTTGTGCATTTGTGAGCTCTGTAGTTCGGTTTTGATTTCTTCTCCATGACTTTATTATTTATTTAAGTATTTTCTTTGCTCTTGATTTTGAATGTAGCATCCTGGGAAGGTATGAGCCATTATCAAAGTGATACTGTGTGACAGTCAGTATGGAGAGCTACACAGTGGTGTATACCTAATGAAAGCTCTAGAGAGTATTTTGATTTGCATTTATCTTATAGCTGGAAATGTTGAACATTTTTAAATATGTTGATTGATTGTGTATCATCTTCTGAGAAGTGTCTGTTCCTTGGCCCATTTATTGATTGGGTTGTTTGGTTTTTTGGTGTTAAGATTTTTGAGTTCTTTATATATCCTAGAGATTAGTGCTCTATCTGATGTTCATGTGGTAAAACTTTGTTCCCAAAATGTAGGCTCTCTATTTACCTCATTGATTGTTTCTTTGGCTGAGAAATTTTTTAGCTTGAATCCATCCTATTCATCGATTCTTGATTTTAATTCTTGTGCTATAGGAGTTTTATTAAGGAAGTTGGGACCTAATCCAACATGATAGAGATTAGGACCTACTTTTTCTTCTAATAGACACAGTGCCTCTGGTTTAATTCCTAGGTCCTTGATCCACTTTGAGTTGAGTTTTGTGCATGGTGAGAGATAGGGGTTTAATTTCATTTTGTTGCATAGTGCTAGTGGGACTGGAAATTGGTGCAGCCAATATGGAAAGCAGTATGGAGATTCCTTGGAAAACTGGGAATGGAACCACCATGTGACTCAGCTATTCCTCACCTCGGTCTATACCCAAAGGATTTAAACACAGCATACTATAGGGACACAGCCACATCAATGTTTACAGTAGCACAATTCACAGTAGCTAAACTGTGGAACCAACCTAGATGCCCTTCAGTAGATGAATGGATAAAAAAAATGTATATATACACAATGGAATATTATTCAGAAATAAAAGAGAATAAAATCATGGCATTTTCAGGTAAATGGATGGAGTTGGTGAATATAATACTAAGTGAAAAAACCAAAAACCAAATGCCGAATGTTTTCTCTGATATAAGTTTGCTGATTCATAATGGGGTTTCTCTAGATAGGGCAGAAGGGAGGAAGGAGAAGGGAGGGGACATGGGGGTAGGAAAGACAGTGGAAAGTGATGGACATCATTACCATAAGTACAGCAGTGAAGACACAAATGGTGTGACTCTACTTTGTGAACAACCAGACACATGAAAAATTGTGCTCTATATGTGTGATACGAATTGTAATGCACTCTGCTGTCATACATAACAAATTAGAAGAAAAAAAGGTCGGATTAAGTCAGAAAAAAAAGAAAGCTCTAGAGAGAGAGCTGAGGCCTGTGTCCTCTACAGGTAATTGGAACCATGTTACCGAATCCATACTACAAACAGCTGTCTTTTTGAAGAAAGTATTTTAATCTAAATTTGGGAAGTTTCCCACAAATCAGCAACTTTGAGGCATTAATTTGGTGTTTCCTGTTGTGATTTTGAGATTCCCAGTGCCGTTTTAGGTTAAGACCTCAGTCCTTGGAGCTGGGAGGCTGTGCCTGGGCTCTGCACCCACCTGCCCCACCTGTAGTCCCAGGCACACATCCTCCACCAGAGCCTCTGTTTCCTTACTGGAAAACAAGTAGGATTGGAGAGCATGGAAGCATGTTTTATGCAGCGCCAGGGACAGTGTTGGACTCTTCGGTACCTAGAAGAGTGTTCAGTATGCTGGTTTCAGAAGATGGTCCCATTCTTTTTCAGAAGTGCATGCTATAAACTAATTTTTATACGAGTGACATTTCTTCATCTCTCTTAACATGTAGTGATGTCCCCATGCTGTGTGTTTAACGGAGTCAGGATTTGGTTGGTACTGGCATAGGTGTATGAGAACATGCTGTCCTGATTTTGCCAGTAGCTGACTTCATCTTATTCTAGAGTCTCACCCGGGGTTGAGGGGAAACCAGTTCATATCCAGTCTGTGGTGCTAATTGTTCCGTCTGATAATGGAAACTGCCCCATCAGAGACTAGTCCTTTCTGGGAAAAGCAAAATGCCCCCTACCCTGCCCCGGCCCCCTCATGGGGGTCTGACTACGGAGGGCACCAAGCTTGCTCACTCACATCTGCAGGGCAGGAGTGGTTTTCTCAATCTTCCCCTTCCTGTGTCTCCTTCTTCCTCTGTCTCCGTCTGCTTACTATCAGCTCACAGGAGCCTATTATTAAACTCCCAGGGATTTTTATGAGTCAGTTGTAAACCAGTTAAAAATTCCTGTATTAAAAATCAATTAAGGGCTGGGGATGTGGCTCAAGCGGTAGTGTGCTCGCCTGGCATGCGCGTGGCGTTGGGTTCGATCCTCAGCACCACATAAAAGTAAAAAGTAAAGCTGTTGTCTCCGCCGAACATTAAAAAATAAATATTTTAAAAATTCTCTCTCTCTCTCTCTCTCTCTCTCTCTCTCTCTGAACTTACAAGGCAGTAGATGGTATTGAAAACAAGGTGAAGGGTGTTCTCTTTGACCATGAACATTCCCGCTCCGTACCCTGTTTGCTGTTTGATGGATTGTCCCCTGTCCTTCAAGTGAATAGTGCTGAATTTGCATTGCTTATATTCTACACTAGAATGCAACACTTAATAATGCAGGGTTTGGGAAACCTTGGAGCACACCTTGAACGTGGATTCTGTGATGGGCTGCTGTGGAGTACCATCGCCTCCAGTGACTTTTCTAGTTGAAATCATCCAGAGATCCTGGCCGAGCGCCGGGAGGCATGCTGAGCCGTCTCCATGGCTGGCTGGCTGACTCCCCACAGGAACCCCAGGATGTGGAGTCCAGTGACTGTCCCCGGTTTTGCAGGGAGAAAACTGAGGCATACAGTTCAGTAGCTTCCTGGTGGTTTTCCCAGGCGTCTGTCTATCCCGGACCTAAGAACAAGCCCTGGTCCCTGGGGTGTGTGATGTACACGTGCCTGCACATGGCGTCAGGGAGCCTAGCCTGCTTGGTGAGGAGGGCTGTGGGACAGCCGCTCCGACCCAGCCTTCCCGGGGGTCAGGTGGAGTTGGGCAAGATGGTAAGAGAGGTCCAGAAGACAGGGAGCCGGAGGAACAGACAAGGAGGGGCCCTGAGGTCACTCCATGTTATGGAGGATGGTTGTAGAAAGACAGGATCCCTCAGTGAGTGATGACCTTGTGATGACCTTGAGCTGTTTTGTACAGTTCTCTTATAAAAAGAGTCACTTTTGGTTTAGATGTACTTTTGTAAAAAATGCATTAATGCAATCTTATTAAGACTATGACACTAACCATGGGAACTAGCATACACCTTGGGGACCTGAGTGGCCCTCCTCTGAGCTGTCTCTAAGCACCGTCGTGTGGAGCAGAGGAGGCAGCTCTGTCAGTCTCACCGCCCAGTGGTAGCCCCATGCTCATGAGTTCACCTTTGCCTTCAGATGGAACTGAGGCCTCCTTTCAGCTGAGCTTATTCTGGTACCTGGCGTGTGCTTTGAGGTCCGCAACGTCACTGCTGGGATCTCTGTGGCTTTCTCCCACAGTGCTTTGTGACATTGGCAGAGACGTGCCCTGTTGACACAAGTGGACTTCAAGGTGCAGAATGGCAGCTCTGATTGTTTCCAACCAAGAGGCCCTGACAAGATTAGCAAGCACAGTGGCCTAATGTCCACCTGTCATGATGGACAAAAGGTTAGACTTAAGCAGTAGAGGGGGAGAAATAAAGAATGTCCAAGTGCTTTTGCCCCTTTTAATACTTTATTCACTCAAATCACCCAGTACAATTTCACTCTATAGGTTCTTAATCAAGAAAACGACAATCCTTAATGCTAAGCACTGCAATAGACATCATCAATTCATAGCAAACGTGTCAAGATTAGTTAATTGTAAGCACTGCAAATGCACTAAATCATGACAGGTTGATGGCAGACATTCCCTCTGCTAAGTTCAAGTGCCAGTTCAAAAGTCTCCAGCCTTAGTCTTTAAGTCCAGCAGGTGCACGCTCACTCGACCACAGTGACCAGGTCAGGAACCAAGGCCGGCTTCTCCTGGGGTGGAGCTGACGGCTGGCTGAGGAGACTGTCAGAGGAGAAGTCCTTGCTCTTGCCAGGGACTGGTGGGATGTGGCTGTGAGCTGTGAGGAAGATGCAGAGGATCAGCAAGGATGAAAGTGTTGGGATGTCCGTCCAGGTCCTCATCAGGCTCTCAGCTGAGGGCATCAGTATGACTGGCTGAAAGTCTGTTCATTTGCTCTATTATTTATACTAAATTTTGGGGCTTTTGACCCCCCTTTCAATCCCTATCAGCTGCCACCAGATTTCTCAGTGACATCATTTACCCTGGGGTTAAAACCTTTGGTCTGTCGGTCTCCACCCTGATCCTTCACCTTTCCCTCTTACTGGGTGAGAACAGCCTGCCTGAGACTTCACTCTGAGTGCACCAGGTGGGGAAGTGACTTGCTGGTGCCTGAGGGCCACTTGGAGGGCTCCTAGGTGTGCCTGGAGAGACTGCAGGTTTCAAACTGGAGTTTTAAAATGGGGCTGCTTAGGCTCAGGCCTCAGCCGTCCTCACACCACCTAAGCCCAGTGAAGTCGTGGCTGTTATTTATTTTTGTTATACTAAAGAAGTGTGAGTGGACACTTTAGTATGCCAGCTGTGAAGATATGGCCACCCTTGTTCCTTTGCATGACCACGAGGAGGGCATGGCCTAGAGGAGGCCGATGTTTGGCTGGGGGGAGAAACCCACCAGTTGTAGCTGAACGAAATGGAAGCTGGTGGTGATCTGTGCTTCTCCCCTGGCTCAGCTGCTGTGGTCTCGGGTGTTAATGAAACGCTGCAGTTCGTGGTCGGGGTGTGGAAGAGATCTGCTACAACTCCATTCTCCTCTCTCGTTTTTTCAGTGCTCCGGCTCCTGAAGGAGGGGGCGGATCCGCACACTCTCGTCTCCTCAGGAGGGTCCTTGCTCCATCTGGTAAGAGCCGCGGCGGTCAGGGGGATGTGGGTGGCCCTGGAGGAGAAGCCTGACTCGAGGGCCCAGGCAGGATGCACATCTGACAGATGGTGTCGAGGAGAAGGATGTGCTTCCAATCGACAGGCTGGATAAGGAGCTGCACTTATGATTTCTGCTCAAAGTTTGTGAATAATCTTTAACAGATGTAGTTAGACAGCATCTGCCCAAAGGGAAATGTTTTCAAAATTAAGTGGTGTTCAAGGAACCAGTGAAGCGGTCCTGCGTTGGTTGGGCCGTAGTGGATACCTGCCCTGTATTTTCTTCTGTAACTGTCCCTTATTGCCCTAATGACATTGTACTCCCTCTGCTCATCATCTGGCTCATATCAGTGAATAGAACCCCCCTTATATGCCTTCACAAATGAGGGAGGGAATGATTAAGTAAATAAACAAATAACTGCATGCATAAATAAATGTTATTATTATAAATGTTATCAGGTTCACAGGCAGGAGAGTTTCTGCTGACTTAGGCCCCAAAAATTAAGAAAAAAATCAACAATTACTTGATTTAGGGACATTTAGGACTTATTTGAAGATAACTTAAAGTCGGAAATACCAAGAAAACATTAGGAAAAATTCTAATTTAGGGTTATCTACCAAGACAAAAGCATTTCTTCAGGTTCTGGCGACTGTGATAGAGAAGGGTCCTGCCTCCCCCAGCCACGGGCTCCGTCCCTACAGGGCTGCTGGCCTCTACTGCACTGTGGAGTCACCCTGATGTCCAGAGACCCCCACTTGGCTTTTCTGGGCTGTAGCTGACTCCTGGGAGTGTCAGTCTCTCCAGGTGATTCTAATTTGCAGCCGGGATTGGGGAAAACTGCTTGAAGGAGACAGACTCCTACCGAAGGTGCACGAAATCTGGAAAGCAGCTGATTGTGGAAAGCCAGCAGTCAGAATGTGGGCAGGAGGCGCTTTGCAGAGAGGGCAGGTGGCCTCTCACCAGCACTGGAAGGAGACCCAGGGAGGTGGGCAGGGGACCCTTCCTAACCTGAAGTGCCCTGGTCTGACACTCTGCACTGCGCACTGCCTCCCTGGTGCTCGCGGGGAGCACTGCCTCCCTGGATCCCACCGTGGTTCTAAGCAGCCCTAAGCTCCCCACGCTCTCCTGAGAGCCTTCTGCAGGTAAGGGGCCTCTCGGCCAGCGTCCCCGGCTGTTGGCACCAGGTCCAGTCCTCCCGTGTTTGCTTCTCCAGGGGGAGGTGGGTCTTTTCCAGGAATGAGCCTGGAGAAGTCACTCTGATGTGACCAGGCAAGTGCTGTCTGTGGGTGAGTGACGGGGCGGGGAGATGAGGAGGGAGAGGGGCCAGGGCTACTTCTTGGCCCCTGAGTGTTGACGGGCTCTGAGTCCTCTTCAGTGGACAAACCTCTGTCCTAGGAATTAGAACATCATCCGCTTTTTCTTCAATTTTGAAAAGCCAGAAAGCCGCCACCTCTCTTTGCCTGGCAGCCACCACGCTGAACCACGGTCTCTTCCCTGGGGCATCCGCTTCCCCGCTGGCCTCCCATCCTGCCCTCCCTGGACTCCCAGCCCCACATGGCAGCTGGGTCGTCACTTTTTCTCCCAAATGCCCCAGGAACCTCCCTTCTCACTCAGTAAAATCCCAGGTCCAGCCTGTGGCCGAGTCCTGGCCCTCAGCTGTGGGACCCTCCTTCAGGGCCCCTGCTCCCTGCTCTGCCCACCCTGGCCACTTGCTGCTGCTCAGCCCAGAGGCCCTGGTCCTCCTCGGTGTGACCTGCAGTTACCAGGGCCCAGGTGCACGCTTGCTGTGGGTTCTGCTCCGGCCCCTCTCCAGTGGCCACCCTGGCTTGCCCACAGGGCTCGGCACCCTGCAGGAGCCCTTCACAGACAAGGCCACTGCATCTCTTTATGGTCATTCTTTACCGTATGGCATAGGGGCCTGCCGCTGCTGTGCTCACTGGAGTCGGCTCAGTGGCAGCGAGGACCGTCAGCTCTGTGACCCCCAGAGCACACCTGGCCCGGCAGGTTGGCGGGGGATCGTGATGGTGGATGGCTGACTAACGTGACTGTCTGATAGATTAACCTGAGGCTTGTGTAGACTAGGGCTGAGAAGGTTCCAGGCACGCGTTGTGTGCTCACACTGAGTTTGGTTTTCTGAGGGAGACAGAACCTCACTCGTGGATGACAGTGGACCAGAGAGAATGACACGGGGTGCAGGAAGGGGCCCTTTATCCAGTCCCACAGCACAGGAGCCCTGCCTTTCCACAGTCCTGCCCTGGGGCTTCCACCTGAGGGTTTGGTGCCTTGCTCTCTCCCAGACGGCAACTCAGACACTGCAGCCGGCCGTCTTAGATGCTTGGTTCCATCATGTGGTGGGTGGCCTTGCAGTCTGAGGGGAGCCACTGATTAGAGAAGGCCCAGGATGTGAGCTTGCTCTGGTCACCTTAGGTCCAGGTAGAGGGAGCACAGAGATGCAGAAACAGCAGGGCCAGAAGGAAACAGGGGGAGGTGGAAGCACCCAAGTCCCGCGGGCTGCGGCTGGGCTGGCGTGAGACCAGGACAAAGGAGGACCACGTGAGGACCTAGAGGTGGCTGCTGAGGGAGCAGGGGCTGGGGCTGGAGCCTCCTTCTGGGGTGACTGAGCAAATAAAAACAAATGAACAATTGCAGGTTGCCAGAGAGACAAAATTACAGGTTTCAGAAAGCCGTGGGGGCTGAGGAAGGCAATTTAGCCGTCTGCAGTGTCAAGCGTGGGGGGCTGGCTGGGCCCCACCCCGCGGCATCCTGCACTTCGCTGCTCCTCAGGCTGAGGCCCTAATTACATGGCTTCCATCCTGCCCTGGAGTGGAGGCAGCAGGGTGCCCGGGGCTGGCCCGAGCCGCAGGAATGAGGAGGTTCCCGGGACCCTCCTCGTCTAGCTCCAGCAGCATTCAGCCAACACCATAGTCTAGGTATGGATTTTTGTAAGACATTCTCTTAGAATTGCCAGAAAACCTTTTATTTTGGGAATTAAAAATCCCCATAGGATCCAATTTTGATATTTGAGAAGCAGATTTTCACATTTTTAGTCAAGTAGTATCTTTACTTAAACTTCTCGTTAACACATTTTCTGCAAATACCCTTGGCTCGGGCTGTTTACCCAGCATGATTAACTCATGCAACACATAGGACAGGATCAAGCACTGTACGCTCG